CGTTACTGAACACATGTCTTTGGGACGAGATTGTGAACGAGTACGAAATTGTAGGGGACGTAGCAGTTAGATGTTAGGTGATTAATTAATATAGGTATAAAGGTGTTCCTTTATGTTGGTTCAATTTTGGTTCAAGTTCTTGTATAAGTAGGACTTCTTTGATTTTGCGTTTGTTTGTCTTTGTTTCTCTACTTAATATGTTGGTGTTTTCTATGGTTATGTTGTGTTTATTTGATTTCCAGTGTTCAAAAACGTGGGAAGATGTTTTTCTGTGTTCATTGAATCTGGTTTCCATTTTTCGGATTGTTTCTCCGATATAGAAGTCGTGGCAGTTGTTGCATTATATTTTATAAATAATGTTGGTGTTATGTTTGTCAGTGTAGTTTTTACATAGTATGGATTTTAGTTTTTACTCGGTTTTGAATGAATTTAGTGTTTACTGGAATGTTATGTTTTGTTGTAAGTTTTTTCGTTGTAAGTTATTTTATCGCTAGTATCGGGAATATACGGTATGCAACAGTGCAGGATTTTATAGTTAGTTCTTTAATTGAATTTATTATTGTTTGTTTGCTGTTAATTGTGTTGTTGGACTAGGTGTATGTGTGTGTATAGTTTGTGAAGGAAATTTATTGATGTTGATGAAATATTGTTTTAATTGGTTGATTTAATCGTTAATTTTATCGAGTGAGCATAGTTTTGTGGCTGTGTTTATTTATTTTTAAATATGTTGAGTTTTTGTTTTGTTTCATGTGCTGAGTCCCAGAGAATATTTAGTCTAGTATGGGTGATTTTTCTGTGGATTTCTGTTTTGAATTGTGTATCGGTTCTTGTGAGCTTGAGGTTGAGAAATGTTATTTGTATAGCTTTCTCGTATTCACAGGTGAGCTTAATGTTGGGTGTATGGAGTTAACATGGTTGAAAAACTAACTGTGTGTTTTGTAGATGTGAATCCAGCAAATGAATCGTCAACATATCTGTACCAGTATGCTGGTGAGTGTAAGGCTGAATTGATCGCTTAAGTTTCAGTCTGTGTTGTGAAAATGTTGGTTAGAATTGGTGAGCATTCAACCAGAAATTTATGGACTCATACAACGGAACATCAACTTAATCAACAGCAAGGAAAGCAAAGAAAAAAGACCCACCATAGCAAAGAAATAGATCAACTAATGTGCTAACAACAGAAAAGATGTTAACACGACGAATCATCGACAAATCTCATAATTAACAGATTCGACAGACAATTAAGCGCTGAAGAGATACATCTGCTCAACAAAAAGCTCAACTTGGCAGTAACACCAAGAAATATTCCATGTGTCGAAATAAAAGCATGCCTTGAAGATCTAGCCAGAAGACTAGTGATCCATTCTATACAGGACAAAAAACTACGAAATGTAGCCACCGGAAAGAAGACAACATGAACACCAATTCCGTCAATAACCAACAACTTATCTTTCCAGGTAAAACTGAAAATATCTATTTCCCCGAAACACCTCAAAACAGTATTTTAAACAACTTTTTTAAATAATTATCACACAAAATCACCAACATAATTTCACAGAAATGAAAGCTAAAAAACAACCTTATTAATTATATAAACAACCCAAAACAAGAAAACAACATCAAAATTCTAAAAGCAGTTAGAGGCAATGCCATTGTAATAATGAACACAAATGAGTACATTCAAAAATTAACAACATCTTTTCAGATACAAACAAATTTAAGACAGTACTCAAAAATCTAACAAAAACACATGAAAACCAACTAAACAAAATGCTACTACAATTGAAAAAACCCAAAACAATCTCAGAAAATCTTTGTTCCTACCGACGCAAGACCGACACCCGCACAGCACAACTATACGGCACCCCGATACCTCACAAACCCGACTTTCCACTATGACTCATAATGTCGACCCCACAATGAATCGTTTAACTACAACTTTGTTAAATACATAGCGTGGGCATTTTCTGCATAGGTAACATCAGCAGGCTCCTTTTTTAAAGACTCTTTTAACTTGAAATCTATTCTGAATCAACTAAGTCATAAAGCCTTAATGGCCAGTTTTGACGTAATCTCCTTTTCACTGAAGTCCCAACTACCGAAGCCTGTAAGATAGCTTTAGAACTTTATATCCAATACCCCAACCCATTAATACATATCTCCTGCAACCAATTAGAAACTATTCTAGAATTCATTACCATCAAAACCAACTTCATGTTCAACAACCAAAATTACATACAAATAAATGGCTTAAGTATGGTAATCCTGTGTCACCAATTCCAACCAACATTTTCAAGAAATTAATGTCGCGTTTTGGAACACTTTCATTAACCCCCCACCCCAAAAAAATGTACATTACGTATAATAGTTAAAGAAACCGCCTAAACGTCACTTTAGTGTAGCCTATGTATTATGTAAAGCTTAGTATAATCTAATCCCTTATAGTGATGGCACACGACGAAACACACATTCGGCATGTAATGCTGTTTGAATACAAGAAGAAAAACAATGCCTCTGTAGCCACAAAGAATATCAAAGAAGTTTATGGAAATGTTTTGAACGTTCGTAAGTGTCAACGATGGTTCAGTAAATTTTATTCAGATGACTTTAGCCTTAAAAACTGTGATGGCAGTGGCCGACATGTTGGAATTGATATTGATGCTCTGAAGACACTTGTTGAGTCAAACCCAACGTAATACACTTGTGAAATGGCCCTGAAATTGCATGTCTCTTATGAAACAATATGTAAACATTTAAGGA